GAACCATTTGCTCTGGAGGAATGCAGAGAAGGCGAAAGAATTTTAATCACTGCCTAAAAACTGCAGCAGGTTAAGTCCAGGAGGTTAACCTGCCTGTTCTTTCCCAGCCTGGCTTATTTAACATTGTGCCATCTGGATGGCTGAGAAACGAGGAGAAGGCGTTTGCTCTCTCTGTGGTACCGCGTAGCAGAATATCAGTTCTATTGAGGGCACAGTTCAGGCTCCTCTGGGCACAGAATCAGCCTATTCCTATCCTGTGCTGCTTTTCTGAGCTCATCCACACTCTTCCAGCTCCTCTGCCAACCCCTTGCACCCTCAGACCTCAACGCAGGGTACAGGCCCTCACGCTTCACATGAGCAGCAGCCCACCATGCCTTGAAGTCCCAGAAAATGCGATTCAGCCAGCTGCCTGCGGGATAAACGCTGTGCTGTTCGATGGGAAAAAGTCTCCTGTTCAACGTAAAACCAAGTTTAAACCTAGCACAACCTGCTCCTATTTGCTCCATGACTATATCTGACTGAGGCCTCCTGTCTGCACAAAAGGCCGCCCCTGACCAAGGCTTTCAGGAAAACTGCTGCATCATGCCAGAACAAGAGAGGCAAATCCAAGATGAACACGTGGAGCAAGGGCGGGACCAAGGCTGGACAGCTTATCTGAGCAAAGTAGGCTTCTTTCCAAGCTCAAACACGTTCCCAAGCCCTGCTCCCAAGGCTCCCCTTCCTCCAGGCTGAACCACTGTATGCTCCAGTGCCCTGACCTGACAGCACAAAGACACCAGCTCCCACAGGGAGAAACACAGAGGTCCACGACAGGGACCAAACCTTGGACCTCCCTCTATCCTCAGGCCCTGCTGGAATGATGAATCCTATTGTTTTCCACTCACCTCTGCTTGCACGAGGCTTGGATCCCAGCTGGCCAGGGCAGGGAAGCCCCCGCTCTGCCCCAGTGCCAACTGTGGCGCCCAAAGAGCGCAGCAGGGTCAAGTGGCTCAGAGTAACACTACAGTCACAGACAGACGGGAGACATCATCAAGCCAAGATTATAAAAGGAGAACAGACAGCACAAAAACTTGCTGCAGCTGTCATGGAAACTTCTTTTTTTTTTAATTATTTAATCGCTGCCCCAGGAACCCCCAAACCCATCACAACCCCC